CTTTTAAATCATTGCTGATATGATATGCACTCATTTATCTTGAATAATAGTGTTGTTGTATACCAACGGATTTTCAAAGCATGATTTGAGCATTTCAATCATATCGTTATATATACAAACAAAAACAATAAATATTGCGCACATATCTTTGTTTCCGCATTAAAAACCATAGTTGGTTGAGGATTTCAATTACTTTTATATTCTAACTAATGATTTAGTTAGAATCATTTGCATTCACAAATAAAAAGGTAGAAAGAAAACTACTGAAAGCAAAATGGGAGGGACTTTGACCTATTACGAGAATAAACAAAGAGAATTGTTGGAGACAATTATCTCTCATCTTCCATTAGATAACTCTTCTATAACCGCAAACACTAGATCTCTCTTTGGCTTATTACGATCCGTAATCATCCTCAATGCCTCAGAGAAATGCCGAACCATTCTTGAGAAGAAGATCGGATCGCAGCTAGAGAAAGCTACACTTGACGATCTACTCATCCCAAGTTACTCATACCTCAACGAAACATTATACGATATAGATGTAGTGGAGAGACTACTAGGCCACTTTGTCGAAAACGCCTCCGTATCCTCCTCCTCGTTGACGGTGGTTGGGAAACTAATCGATGGAGTTCTTGGAGAAGTCGCATCTGACGGTAATCTCAAACCGGAAAAATTCTACAAACTCGCGAGGTCACTACCATATCAAGCACGGTTATACGATGACGGACTCTATACAGCCATCGATATATATCTCAAGGTGAGTATATAAAAGTGTAAAATACAATATATAACCATTTCGTTAAAAATGAGTTCCAACAATTGATCGAACTGGAGACCTTTTGCGTGTAAGGCAAACGTGATAACCACTACACCCACAACACCCTAATGTTTCAATGATATGTTATTGTTGGTGATAATATATAGGCGCATCCATGGATATTGGAGGGAGAGAAGGAGAAGATATGTAGTGTAATGGATTGTCGTAAACTTACACTTGAAGGTTGCACACACGCAGCACAAAACGAGCGTTTACCATTACGAGCGGTCATACAAGTCTTGTTTTTAGAGCAATTACAACTCCGGCAAGCAATCTCCGGGACGTTATTAACGGCGGTGACGGAGGAAGACGACGGGGGTGAAACGGCTGGAGAAGGAGAGGTGGTGGACTTTGGGAGATGGGAGAAAACGGTGAGGGAGAATCAAGTGCTTCGTTTGGACATGGATACGATGAGGACTCGTGTGTATCAGTTGGAGAGAGAATGTTTGTACTTGAAGAAAGTGATCTCGAAGATCGACAAGGTAAGTATGTCCGAGGCTAAGGATGGGACGAGAAAGTGGTCGATGAGCAAGAAGTTGGGATGCAAATTTAGTACTCGAGTTTGTGATTCGCATGAAGCGACGATGATTGATCGAAGATCACGACGTTTTAGTACGTAAATCAGAATCATCTTTTGGTTCTTGAATTGTGTGTGTTTTAAAAAAAATTCTCTAAAAAAGATTGAAAACTTTGTAGGGACCCAACTTTATATTACAGAAATGATATGGGTTTTGTATATGGACTAATTAGTTAAAATTTACAAGACCAAGAATCACGAAAATTCAGCTTTTATTCATAGAATCTAAACAAAATAGTTGATTTCCATAAATTTCATAAAATTTAGCATATTGTGTACATTACGATATTTGATCGTAGCTTACGAAAAAAATAGAGATCTTCCGATCGAATCCAACTGTATGCAAATGGTTTTACGCATGATCGTTCGACGCGACGGACAATTTTTTCTCACACACAAATCTACATCATACCTTTCATAATAGACAATACCTATAAAATTATAAGACACGTCGAAAACCTTCAACAAGTATTCACATTTTTTTGTTTCTTTCAATCATTTCTAAAATAATTGAGGATGACCCCATTAAAAAAAAAAAAAAACGAAAACGCGCAAACCAAAGGAATAGGTCAACTGAGGCCTTGAATGTTTGAAGTTGTTCGGGCGTTTCGGAGTGCGGGATGGATTAATGTCACCATTCACATAATTTTGTTGAGCGTCTTGTGTGTTTCAATTAACAATTAAAAATGATAAAAAATATGGATGTGTGGGCCAAGTGTGTTCCTTATGAAGAACAAAATGTTCTCCCGCACCACTGTTTCAACTACACTTCAAATTTGATGTGGTATAGGTGCGTTCCACAATTTTTTCTATTATTTTAAGTTTTTAAAAATCAAAAAAAATTATGAGAACTTGATACTGTAGATTTATACAATATTTTTTTTAAAAAAAATTATTTAAACAAATTAAAATATTTATATAAATTAGTTAAACATTATCCCGAACCGCTGTTTGCACTTTTCACCATTCAAAACTTTTACTTTTGTACCGCATGTTATTTTTTTACTATTCAAACATTATCCCGAACCACACTTGAACCGCACCGCACCTCTTAAACCGCTATTTTCCGCACCGCATTTAAACCGCACCGCACCTCTTAAACCGCTTGTTCCGCACCGCCCAAACCACTGTCACCATTCGAAGCCTGAATTGGTAGTTATGACACGTGGCGGTTTAACCTTTTTTCTCTCCTTACTATACTCTCCAATCATAGAACGACACATCACTTACCACAAGCGGTAAAACCAGTGAACGATTGATTGATTGATGGGGCCAAAATAAGCAGATAATCGCTATTGGAATATTTTATTTGGAAGAGAGAACAAAGGTTTCGTCTGATTCTCTCCATCTTCCAACTGAGGAAAAGAAGAACAAAAAATGGGGCGTGTGGATTATCTGGCGATGAAAACCGACGTCGATACGGTTGCTCTGGTGAATTCCGACTTGGAAGAGCTTAAGATCGCTGCGAAGAAACTCGTCACCGATGTTTCCAAGCTTGGTGGATTAGCTTTCGGTGTTTCTTTTGTTAAATGGATCGCTTCTTTTTCTGCCATGTGAGTTATTTTTCTTTCAATTTTCCTCTGATTTTTTGATTGTCATCGATTTCATCAGTTTCTCAGAGAACGGTTTGGTTTTTCTTGTGGGTTCTTCGATTGTTACATGTTGAATTCGAAAAGCTGATTCTGGGTCAATTGAAAAACTGAGAATTTCTCGAGACCCATGGTTAAGGATTCGCATCTGAATCTGATTGACCCTTTACTCTGTTATTTGAGATAATTACGTTTTGGGATTGATCAGACTGTTTGAGAGGCTTAAATTTCATTTGCAATAATCAGAGAGACTGTTGCAAATTCTATTCTCTACTGGGTTTCTAAAAAGATTGATCAGTGAATCACAAAAGTGAAAAGGGCTTTGGCTTCTTAACTCTTGCTGCAATTTTCTTGTTCCCAAACTTTTGTTTTTGGCGTTTGTGATGCAGTTACTTGTTAATATTGGATCGAACCAATTGGAGAACCAAGATGCTTACCTCACTTCTAATACCATACATCTTCCTTACCCTTCCTGGTGTCATTTTTAACTTTCTCAGGTAACTTGTCTAATGAAATCTTTCTAATGACATATTCTTTAAAACCAAGTCTATAAAACTGCAATGGTTAAGTCAAAAGTTTCCTTCTTTTTTTTTATCAGAGGAGACGTTGGGAAATGGATTGCTTTCGTTGCGGTCGTACTCAGACTTTTCTTCCCTAAGCATTTCCCAGGTGATGAACATCTTCATATCTTTGGTTATGTGTGATCTTACTTTTAGTGTATTGTATATTGCTAATAGCCAAAACAAATTTCAAGTCTGACACTTTTTTTGTTTTGTGTGGTACTGCAGATTGGCTTGAGATGCCGGGTTCTCTGATTCTTCTGCTTGTAGTTGCTCCAAACTTTCTTGCATACCATATACGCGGATCATGGATAGGTACTGTAATCAGTCTTTTCATTGGGTGTTACCTTCTTCAAGAACATATTCGAGCATCGGGTGGATTCAGGAATTCGTTCACGCAGCCTCGCGGAGTATCAAACACTTTAGGGATCATACTTCTTTTGGTCTACCCTGTTTGGGCTCTAATCATTCGTGTCACTTAAATCAAGTTGCTCGGCTGGTTACAATAAGCTGCGTAAAACATTACATCGAGAACATTTATTTGTCTATTTGTAACAAACATTTGTTCTTTCTCTGTAAACTGCTTCTGAATTCCGTTTCGTGTATACAATCGTGGAATGTAAAAGAGAATGAACTACACGCTGTTTAAGACTCAATAAACTACATGGTGTTTCGCAGGTTTTCATGCAGAATGCGTGGCGTTTTCAAATCATAAAAGGAAAAAAGAACTACATGCTGTTTTCATGTCGTTTATTTGTAGCCGACTACATCAAAACCCTAGCCCCTAATTCAGTACCCCCTTTATAAGGAGTCCACTCTCCGCCGTTTACATTCATAAGTTGTCGTCTCCGATCTACAAATTCTCTCTTATATTTGTTTTGATTTCTGTCTTTTATTGCTTAATTGCTTTCCGCTGAATCGAC